GTCCTCTTCCTTTCGGAAGGTCACAGCCCGGCAGCCTAGCTCCGTGGTCAGGTCACAAGGACGAAGATGCTCGCTCCCTTAGCGTTTCCGTCTCTAGCGAGGGACGGAGTAGATTTCCTCGTACGGGGGAGGAGAGAAGCAGACACAGTCCTCTTCCTGCAGCGGGGCATCTTCTCTCAGGTCCCTGTAAGCACTCGACCTGGAATGTTAACAGAAAGCACAGCTGCATCACTGCCCAGAGGCTACTCACAGACACCACTGCAGCCCCACCTGCCCTCTTCCTCCAGGTGCTGCCGGAGCTGGATGGGGGAGACCCTCCAGCACACGCCCCTACCTGCCATGCCCGCTGTCCAGGTAAGCGGCGTAGTCCTCATCCTCTGCATACGCGGCGTTATCCTGAGGGTAGATGGTGTAGTACCGAGGCGGACTTGGCATGGCTGCCACCGGCCCTCCAGAGGGCACGAGACCACACGGGTTCCCCACTGGCTGCAGGTAGGGGGTGTTGGGTGCCAGGGGCTCCTGAGGGATATACTGGACCACGGTGGCCCCATGGAAGGTGATGGGCTGGTTGATGCCAGTAAAGACAAAGGACTGTCCGCCAGGCGCCTGCTCCGGGTCCAGGCTCCTCTCCTCGCCTTCTTTGCACAGCTGGCAGGAAAGCATCTTGAACTTGCAGACGGCGATCAGGATAAACGTGACTCCAACCGAAAGCAGGATGGGTCCGAGGAGCTGGGTCCATTCAAAGTGGGACACATCTTGGTATTTGATCCAGCCCATGACGGTGAAGGTGATCCCCACCAGCCCCAGGAAGATGCCCGAGAAGAGCAGGGTGGCCCCCGCCTTGTCGTCATCCGACACCTGGATGTCGGCGGTACTGGGTGTGTAAGGGCTGATGGAAAACACGTTGAGAGGGAAGTCCTCCGCGCGGCTGCTGCCCGGCTCCATGGTCCTCAAGTGGCCACCTGCTTCTGAGAGGGCAAAACGACGCTGAGAGTGACTTAGGCGGGTGGAAAGGAAGGCCGGGGTCAGATTAGTTATAGAAGAACTTTGGGCTTCTGTGGTTAACAGAGTGTAACACGCAGAGGGCTGGACTTTGTTTAGACGAATAAAGGTCTGAGAAATGAAGCCTGACGTTTTCTCATGTCCTGTCAACAACACAGGTACCTCTTCCAACGATTAGCCTGCTCTCGGATTCACACCCATTCATTCCAAAACAGTGGACCGAGTCCCTCTTTTGTGTTGCCAAGGCTCCCTGGTGGTGCGGAGGGTTATGTGTTGGGCTTCTAATCGCAAGGTCAGCAGTTGGAACCCACCTGTCGCTCTGCAAGGAAAGACAAGGCTTTCTGCTCCTGGAAACCCTTGAGAGCAGCTCCACTCTGTCCTACAGGGTCACAGAGTCAGAATTGCCTTGCTGGGCAGGAAGGGTTTTGGGTTGTGTGAGTGTGTGACACAGGGTTCAGGGGCTGCCACGTCGATTCTGACTCAAGTGCTTCCTGGTGGCGCTGCCTTCCATTGGTTATGACCTTGCAGAAGCAGACCGCCAGGCCTGTCTGCAGAAGTGCCTCTGGGTGGAATCAAACCAACACCCTTGAGGTGTGTAGCCGATCACTTAGTCACACGCATATGAGTCCGCTGAAATCCCATGTCTGAAATCCCATAAGACACTAGGCCAGGCAAACTGAGTCCTCAAAGTAAAGGAACAGCCCTGCTTTTCAATACCCTGCAGGGGTCTTGAGCAGCAGATTTGCCCAATGCAATGCGTTATGTGATCTCTAGACCGCTGTTTCCATGAGCTTTGACTGTGGATCCCAGGAAGACAAATTCCTTGACCACTCGTTAGCCCCAGGGCCCTCATTTCCTCCAATCAGAAGCAGAGTCATAGACACGGCAGAGCTGCCTCCAGGACTTCCGGTGGTAAAGGAACCCCTGATGGCCATCCCCTCCACACATCGTTGGTTGTCTAACCTGTGATTTCTGCTTGTGAAGAAGAGGCAGGGACTTATTTGTTAATGTGTCAATTCCTTCCCACTTCAGGAATCTCTAGTTAGGCTGAGAATTAAACTCAAAGACAGCTCTCACAGAGTGCTGGCATCCTCACCTGTCCGAACCAGCTCCATCTGCCTTCTGCTTTCTGCGAGAGGGACATTTTCCAGAGGTGGGAGAAGAAAGAGGCCACGGGCAGCCTTCCGTGAGCCACATTGCTGGCACAGGCTGAATGGGTAGCAGAAGGCACGTGGCCTCACTTGGGCACACGCTCACAAACAGGTGCATTTCCCAACCTGGGGTGATTTGTAGCCAGACTTCAGCAGATTCAGAGAAGCTAGCTTGACCTCTGATGACAGTACCTGTAGATCATGACTACAGAACTTTAGAACCACCCCACCAACTCCCTCCTCCAGAGAATCATAACCCTGAGCCTCTTCCTTTCCTAGCTGGGTTTTAACCAAATAGATCTCCCTCCCCAGTGAGTCATTATCAGTCCCCTTTTCCCACCGAGCGAGCAGTCTAGAAAAAGAGATGCTCTTTGTCCTAAGTCAGGACTTCCCACATTTCTTTGACGATAAATATCACAGGGGCCACTGTAAGTGTTTACGTTGTTACACTGTGGTAAATAGGTACATACAGTTCACTAAATGCTTGCCCGTCTCCGTCCTTCATGCCTATCGCTCAGGACTGTCAAAAGAACAAACAGATCGGTCTTGGAAGAAGTACAGTCAGGATGCTCACGGACTTTGGACTTACTGTCAGGAGACACCAGTCCCTGGAGAAGAACACCATGCTTGGTAAAGTAGAGGGGCAGAAAAGAGAGGAGGAAGGCCCTCAACAAGCTGGATTGACACCCGGCTGCATTGACAGGCTCAAACATAAGAACAATTGTGAGGATGGCACAGGACGGAGCAGGGTTTCATTCTGCTGTGCACAGGGTCCCTCTGAGTTGGAGCCAACTCTCTGGTACCTAACAATAACAACAACAACAACAACAGCATCAGTGATCCTATACCAATACCTTAAAAAGAACACAACACTTTTTATTATTAACAGAACAAACCAGTTTTCCATCCCGCAATGCAT